TTATGTTTTTCTTCACTGTCGATGGTAATAAAAATATCAATTGTCAAAAATTCCTTTTTTTATTGTCTGACGCCTGAACGCGTTTCGTAATGCTTATTACATTTTCAAAGACTTAATTTACACACAGATTCATCGAACTGATACTCATATCGAGGTGGCGGCATCCCCCGCCTCTGATGACCTCAATACTTATCAGTATCTTACTTTCACTCCATAATTACTGGGTACATTTGGTGGGTACTACTGGCGCCAAAACACCTACTTATGGCTAGTGTGTATATTCTCTGTACTGTAATAATTCTCATTAACAGTCCCGGATTAACACTTTTAGAAGATCTATGTACTGAAAAATTATGGTACCCCCATATGCCATATATGTTATTCAAAATAAAACCATAGTAAACCGTCAAATAGATATGTCCCATTAAATAAATGCCGTTATTTGTATAAAACAAAATACCTATTATTCCATTGCTTTCTTGTTTTGGAGCTACAATGCATTTTAACTTACACGAATCAATGATGCAAAATAAAGTTTGCTTCTGCTTAGTTATAACTTTAGTTATATTGCAGAAAGTTTAATCGTGCTTTTTTTAAATTGCAAAGTCTTTGCTCATATCCTCAAAATTAATCTGATGTAACAAATCTACTTCAATATTTAGCAGATATGAGACATCCAGCTTGTCTTGTCGCATAGCTGTTCTTTTTAAAATTTTTATATAATTCAACTGAGAAAGTGAACGTTGAGCTGTGAAGCTTGTGACCAATTAATGTTAAAAATATGCGGAAGCAAACGTCTCCATTTTGAAAGGCACAAAATATTTTCTTCTACAATTATTTTGTAAAGTTCAGCATGACAATTTTTTTTTTAATTTTGGTTGCACTAAACTTATGTCGCACAAGTGAGTGAAGCTGCTGAAGCTCAGCTGAGAAGTCAGTGGTCAAGTCTTCTGAGTAAACATCAATCATATTTTGACAACACTCAGAGTATCTTTCAACTTCAGTAGATGATGAAAGGGACATTTTTTGTACATCACAGAAAAAGAAACTCTACCTGCCATTTCTTTGTACACTTCTCTCCTTCTTTCTCTTATCTCAGTTATAACTTTGTCAATAATTGAAAAAAAGTTGGTGATGCAAAATTTATCTCGAGCATTATGATCTTCCTCTGGTGCTTCTCCATCACTGGGTACCTTCTTCCCGTTGTCGAGTTTGAGCTTCTTTGTAATCAACGTCTGGTAGCATTTTCTTTGCAATTGCTTAGTGTCTTTCAAGGTTATCCCTTGAATTATGCAGTTTGTCAGGTAATGAACCATACAGATATGACCATCTTGAGATCTTGAGGTTATCTTGAGATGATTTCGGGGCTTAGTGTCCCCGCGCCCCGGTCCTCGACCAGGCCTCCACCCCCAGGAAGCAGCCTGTGACAGCTGACTAACACCCAGGTACCTATTTTACTGCTAGGTAACAGGGGCATAGGGTGAAAGAAACTTTGCCCATTGTTTCTCGCCGGCGCCTGGGATCGAACCCAGGACCACAGGATCACAAGTCCAGTTTGCTGTCCGCTCGGCCGACCGGCTCCCATGCTTTAAAGTCCACATCATAACTTTTTTGAACTTTACTTCCTCTACGAGAATTATGCTGGATCTTACCCTTGAACATGAACATAAAATGAAAGTCTACCTCTTGCATCTTATTTGCAATATTGTTTGCTTCTCTTCTAGTGTCTCTTTTGTGACTTGTGGCTTCTTGTGACTTTTGTTTTCAGCTATAAATTCAAAAGCTTCCAAAATCTTATGGAAACACTTTCTGGGTGATGTTGGGTGCTCAGATTTGGGCCAGTGTGAGCTGTGATGGAACTTGCAATGTACGGATGCGTGGTGAGCCACTGAGCACCGCATGTCCGCTACGCTAACAAGTGTTGCTTGACATGTACTGTCGTACCGAACACATTTTAAAGCGAGCTGAGGTTGCTCCGTTGACCATATGGCAATGGCCAGATTAGAATTTTGTTGTATTTCATTGAATAAAGTATCATTAGTCTTGTTTGTACTATAATTATATTAATATTAATATTTTTTTCATTTATAGTGGAGCCACCATTTAATGGGTCAAGGTTCAGCTGCAATACTACACCATGGTCCAATGCAAATTTGACATTGGAAAAAAGCTCTATGGAACCCGCTCTTTACTTGAGGCCATAAGCACATGCTTTTTTACTTAATGGTCAATCCAGGGCTGTTAACTAAGATATGATAGTTGTATTTAATCTTGAGCAGAGCTACAGCAAATGTTCAAATAAGTGGACCAGAGAGCCCACAATAAAGCACCATGAAAGGTAATCATGCACTCTTACCCAGGCCTGAGGTCTGTCTTTCCCAGTGCATCACGATGGTAAACAAAAGATACAATGCCATTCTACCCTCACTTGCATGTCATACAAACTATACTCAACAATATCCAATGAATGAGCATTTATTAAAATTACACCATAGGGAAACAATCTCTGACCTTGTTAGAAACTAGGCTTCGATAGTTTTAATTCTTTGAACTGAAACATAATTATATTGAGTTGTGTTTATCTCTTATACTAAAAAAAAAAATTCCTAAAGGTACAATAACAAATAAGTATTTTCCATAGGAGGTGTTGAAGGTGCCTTAATCTGACTTTTTCTTTCTGCCATCACCACTAAAAAGTATAGCAGTGACAATTCTAAAGATGCGATGTAGGATGAAAAGGAGAAGGGAGAGAGCCAGAAGGAGGAGGAGCAGGACGTCGAGCATGAGGAACTCCACCCAGGAGAGCTGTGCCGCCGGGGACCTCAGCTGGGGGGCCCCACGGTGGCGGATGACGTACTCCGTCCAGAACACTGCCCGTTCCCTGGGCGACGTCAGCTGGTCTCTCATCCTCACTGACTTCCTGATCACGTTTTCCTTATACCTGACCACCAGGGATGTAAGAAGGAAAAACGCAATCACAGTCACAAATAATTATATTGAGTTTTTATTTAAAATACCAGATGAAGAAGTGTACCTATATAATTAGAAATTTAAATGGTTTAGATATCACACAAAAGTATTACTTATATTTAACCCAAGAACAATCCACCTTTTAAAATCATAACGTTTATACGAGCTTGCTGGGGTTCTGGGAGCTCTTCTACTCTCCAAGCCCTGCCCAAGGCCAGGCTTGACTTGTGGGAGCTTGGTCCTACAGGCTGTTGATTGGAGCGGCCCGCAGTCCCACATACCCACCATAGCCCGGTTGGTCGGCAGTTCTTGAAGAAAATTATCTAGTTTAATCTTGAAGATATCCACCGTTGTTCCGGCAATATTTCTTATACTCGCTGGAAGGATGTTGAACAACTGTAGACCTCCGACGTTTATACAATGTTCTCTGATAGTGCCTATGGCACCCCTGCTCTTCAATGAATCTGTTCTGCTCTTGTATACTGAACTTTGTCACATCCAACTCTAGCAAAAGCTTTCTTACATCCCCACTGGTAATCTCAAACTCCTCTAGTGGTGCCTGGTTAACTATTCCTTCTCTTATCTCTGGAACTTTCCCTTGCTCCAATGTGAAGACTTCCTGGAATTTCCTATTGAGATCCTCGCACACTTCTTTGTCGTTTGTAGTGAATCTGTCTGGCCTTATCGTCAGTTTCATTACCTGTTCCTTCACTGTTGACCTTCTCCTGATGTGGCTGTGTAGCAATTTGGGTTGAGTCTTAGCCTTGCTAGCTATGTCATTTTCATATTGCCCTTCTGCCTCTCTTCTCACCCTGAGGTATTCATTCCTGGCTCTCTGGTATCCTCCTCTGCTCTCAGGTGTCCTGTTATATCTGTAGTTTCTCCATGCTCTTTTACTTACTTGCTTAGTTACCTTTCATCACTGATTAAACCATGGGTTTCTCATCTGTACTTAATTTTTTACCTTTTGTTCCGGGAAAAACTTTTCTGCTGCCTCCTTACATTTCTGTGTGATGTATTCCATCATGTCTTGGGCCGTCTTTTCCCTTAGCTCTGTTTCCCATGTTATATCCGTTAGGAAATTTCTCATCTCCTCATAGTTTTCCTTACTGAATGCTAGCCTTTTGCTTTCAGTTCTCTTTCTCGAGTTCTTTAATCCTTCTTCGAGCAGATACTCAAATATCAGTACACTGTGATCGCTCATTCCTACTGGGGCCTCGAAGTCAATTTCCCTCACGTCGAATTCATTCAGAGTGAATACTAGGTCGAGTCTCGCTTGTTCATCGTTTCCCCTCACTCTTGTGGGTTCTCTGATATGCTGGCTTAATAAGTTTCTTGTTGCCACCTCCAGTAGTTTAGCTCTCCATGTCTCCTTTCCTCTATGCGGATCTTTGTTCTCACTTCCGTGATTGAAATCACCTATGATAAGCAGATGGAATCGAATTCTACAGGCAGCAGAGGCTGCCCTCTCAATTATATTGTTAACTGCCATGTTGTTTCTATCATACTCTTGCCTGGGACTTCTGTCGTTTGGTGGAGGGTTATATATCACTGCTACTACTACTCTTGGTCCTCCTATCGTCATGGTGCCTGTTATGTAGTTTCTAGACCCTTCAAAGCCTGGAATAACCATCTTCTTGAAACTCCATTTCTTTCTCATGAGTAGGACCACTCCACCTCCTCCTGAATGTGTGTACTCACCTAGTTGTGTTTGCGGGGGTTGAGCTCTGGCTCTTTGGTCCCGCCTCTCAACTATCAATCAACTGGTGTACAAATTCCTGAGCCTATTGGGCTGTATCATATCTACATTTGAAACTGTGTTTGAAGTCTGCCTCCACAACAACACTACTTAATGCATTCGATTTGTTAACTACCCTGACACTGAAAAAATTATTTCTAACATCTAACGTCTAACGTATGTGTGTGGTGTGTGTGTGTGTGTGTGTGTGTGTGTGTGTGTGTGTGTGTGTGTGTGTGTGTGTGTGTGTGTGTGTGTGTGTGTGTGTGTGTGTGTGTGTGTGTGTGTGTGTGTGTGTGTGTGTGTGTGTGTGTGTGTGTGTGTGTGTGTGTGTGTGTGTGTGTGTGTGTGTGTGTGTGAAGAAAAAAAATAGTTAGTAGTTTATAACCGTTGACTGATTGACAATTGACAGACGGTCCGAAAGAGCAAAGCTAAACCCCTGCAAGCACAACTAGGTGAATACACATGTTCCAGAACAGGGACTCAAACTTTTTCCACCACAGAGAGTCACACTTGTTCCACAACAGGGAGTCATACTTATTCCTCAAAAGGGAGTCACACTTGCTCCACCACAGAGAATCACACTTGTTCCACTGCAGGGAGTCAAACTTATTCCTTTGCAGGCGTCACACTTTTTCCGCCACACGGATTCACACCTGCTCATCAACAGGGATTCACACTTGTTCATCAACAGGGATTCACACTTGCTCCTACATAAGGAGATACACTTCTTCCACCACAGGAAGTTACACTTGTTGGACCACAGGGAGTCACACTTGTTCCTCTGGAGGGAGTCACACTTGTTCCCCGCAGAAGTCACAATTGTTCCCTGCAGGAGTCACAATTGTTCCACTACAGGTAGTCAAACTTGTTCCTTCTCAGGAAGTCACACGTGTTCATCAGAAAAGAATCAAATTTGTTCCTCCACAAGAAGTCACGCTTGTTCCTCAGTAGAGAGTCAAATTTGTTCCTCGAAAGGGAGCCACATTTGTTCCTCTGCAGGTAGTCACACTTGTTCCTTCACAAGGCATCACACTTTTTCCTCCAAAGAGAGTAACACTTATTCCTACACAAGGAGTCAGAATTATTCATTCACAGTGAGTCACATTTATTATCTCACAGGGATTCACACTGACTCCTCCACAGAGAATCACACCTGTTCCATCACATGGAGTCAAACTTGTTCCTTGTTCAAACTTGTTCAAAAGCAAGGCAAGTGAACTAAGGGAAAGAGCACAAGAAGTGAACCCGGATGTAATCGGACTCACAGAAATAAAACTCTCAGGAATCATAACAAATGTGGTGTTTCTCCAGGACTACACAGTAATAAGGAAAGAGAAGGAAGGTAGGGGAGGAGGCAAAGTGGCCCTACTAATGAGAAAGGAATGGAGTTTCAAAGAGATAGCTATCCCGGGCTGCAAAGGATTCCGAGACTACATAACAGGCATAAGGATAATGGGAGGACCAAGAATAGTAGTAGCAGTGACATATAACCCTCCATCAAATGACAGAAGATTCAGTGAAGAGTATGACAACAACAACATGGCAGTTAACACTATAATTGAGAGGGCAGCCTCTGCTGCCTGTAGAAATAGATCCCATCTGCTCGTCATGGGGGGACTTCACTCACGGAATGATAGATTGGGAGAACAACGAACTGCATGAAGGTGAGGATACGTGGAGAGCCAAACTATTGAGGTAGCGACAAGAAACTTTCTAAGCCCGCATGTCAGGGAACCCCTAAGGATGAGAGGACACGATGAACCAGAGAGGCTCCACCTAGTCATCACTCTGAAGGACTCCGACATAAAGGAAATTGGTTTCGAGACCCCAGAAGGAATGAGCGACCACAGTGTACTGGCGTTTGAGTATCTGGTTGAAGAAGGGTTATGGAACTCGAGGAGGGGAACCGAAAACAAAAGGCAGGCATTCCTAAAGTGAAACTATGAGGAGATAAGAAAATTCCTAACAGATATAACATGGGAAACAGAGCTCAGGGGAAAGACGGCCCAAGACATGATGGAGTACATCACGCAGAAGTATAGCAGGGAGTGGAGAAACTATATCAATAACAGGACACTTGAGAGCAGAGAAAGATACCAGAGTGCCAGGAATAAATATATCAAGTTGAAAAGAGAGGCAGAAGGGCAGTATGAAAATGACATCGCAAGCAAGGCAAAGATTCAACCTAAATTGCTGCACAGCCACAACAGAAAAAGGAGAAAAACAACAGCAAAGGAACAGGTAATGAAATTAAGGATAGGGGCAGACGGATTCACTACAAACGACAAGGAAGTGTGTGAGGAACTGAATAAGAAATTCCAGGAAGTCTTCACTTTAGAGCAAGAAGAAGCTCCAAAGATAAGAGAGGGAATAGTTAACCAGGATCCACTAGAAGAGTTTGAGATTACCAGTGGGGAAGTAAGGAACCTTTTCCTAGAATTGGTTGTAACAAAGACTTTAGGCCCAGATGGAATCTACCCTTGGATACTGGAGGAAGGAGCGGAAGCACTGTGCCTGCCACTCTTCATAGTTTATAACAAATCACTGGCAAAAGTGAAGGTGCCAAGAATTTGGAAAACGGCTAATGTAGTCCCAAAATACAAGAAGGGGGGATTTACAGGAGGCTCTGAATTTCAGGCCTGTGTCTATAACTTGCATACCATGCAAGCTGATGGAGAAGATTGTGAGAAAAATATAGTGGAACATCTGGAGCGAAAGAACTTTGTAACACAGCATCAACATGGGTTCAGGGATGGCAAGTTCTGCCCCACAGGATTAATTGAATTCTACGACCTGGCAAACAAAAATCAGACAAGAAAGTGAAGGGTGGGTAGACTTTATATTCTTGGATTGCCCGAAAGCCTTTGACACATTATTACACAAGAGGCTAGTGAAAAAGCCGGTGATGCAGGCAGGAGTGAAAGGGAAGGTACTCCATTGGATAAGGGAGTACCTAAGCAACAGAAGACAGCGAGTCACTGAGAGGGGCAAGATCTCAGATTAGCGAGACGTCGTCAGTAGAGTCCCGCAGGTGTAAGTCCTTGGACCTGTACTGCATCTGATAAATGTAAATGATCGCCCAGAGGGTTTAGAATCATTCCTCTCACTGTTTGCTGATGGTGCAAAAATTATGAGGAGGATTAAAACAGAGTATGACAGTAGGAGATAGACTAAGATGTCTTAGTCTCCGTGGTGTAGTGGTAAGACACTCGCCTGGCGTTCCGCGAGCGCTTTGTCATGGGTTTGTAACTTGACCGAGGAAGATTTACTGGGTGCAAATCCTTAACTGTAGCCTCTGTTTAACTCAACAACTAAAATGGGTACTTGGTTGTAAAAACGATTCTTCGTGGGGGTCGTATTCCAGGGACCTGCCCGAAACGCTATGCGTACTAGTGGCTGTACAAGAATGAAACAACTCTTGTATATATATCTAAAAAAAAAGATGACCTAGACAGACTGAATGAATGGTCCAACAAATGGCTGCTAAAGTTTAACCCGAGTAAATGCAAAGTAATGAAACTCAGTGGGTGGAAACAGGAGGCCAGACACAGGATACTGAATAAGAGATGAAGTACTTCAAGAAACAGAGAGAAAGATCTAAGAGTTGATATCGATATCACACCAAACCGGTCTCCTGAAGCCCACATAAAAAGAATTACATCTGCAGCATATGCGAGGCTGGCTAACATCAGAACAGCCTTTAGGAACCTGTGTAAGGAATCATTCAGAACCTTGTATTCCACATATGTAAGACCAATCTTGGAGTATGCGGCCCCAGCATGGAGCCCATACCTTGTTAAGCACAAGACGAAGCTGGAAAAAGTTCAGAGATATGCCACTAGGCTAGTCCCAGAACTAAGAGGCATGAGTTACGAGGAAAGGTTGGGGAAATGCACCTTGTGATACAGGAAGACAGAAGAGTTAAGGGAGACATGATAACTATCTACAAAATTCTCAGGGGAATTGACTGGGTAGATAAGGATAAACTGTTTAACACGGGTGGTATGTGAACAAAGGGGACACAGGTGGAAACTGAGTACCAAAATGAGCCGCAAGGACGTAAGAAGGAACTTTTTCAGTGTCAGAGTAGTTAACAGATGGAATGCATTAGGCAGTAATGTGGTGGAGGCTTACTCCATATACAGTTTCAAAGGTAGATGTGATAGAGCCCAGTAGGTTCAGGAATCTGTATACTAGTTGACTGACGGTTGAGAAGCGGGACCAAAGAGTCATAGCTTAACCCCCGCAAGCACAAATAGGTGAGTACACAGGAAGCAGCCCGTAACAGCTGTCTAACTCCCAGGTACCTATTTACTACTAGGTAACAGGGGCATGAGGGCGAAATAAACTCTGCCCATTTGTCTCTGCCGGCGCCGGGAATCGAACCCGGGCCACAGGATTACGGGTCCTTCGCGCTGTCCACTCAGCTACTAGACCCCTTTACTTCAACTTAAATGTGGGACTTCATATGGTGGAAAACGTTTGACTCCTTGTTTCGAAACAAGTGTGACTCCCTCTGGAAAAACAAGTGTGACTCCTCCGTTTGGAGAAACAATTGTGACTCCCTGTGGTGTCACAAGTGAGTGACCCCCTTTTGGAGGAACAAGTGTGACTACCGTTGAAGGAACAAATGTCACTCCCTGCAGAGAAACAAGTGTGATTCCCTGTGGTGGCACAAGTGTGACTACTTGCACAGGAACAAGTGTGGCTCCTTTTGGAGAAATAAATGTGACTTCCTGGAGAGGAACAAGTCTGACTTCCTGCAGAGGGACAATTGGGATACGTGTAGAGGAACAAGTGTGACTTCCTGTGGAAGAAGAAGTATGACTCCCTGTGGTGGAACAAGTGTGACTCCTGCAGAGGAACACGTTTTACTCCCTGCAGAGGAACACGTTTTACTCCCTACAGAGGAACACGTTTTACTCCCTGCAGAGGAACACGTTTTACTCCCTGCAGAGGAACACGTTTTACTCCCTGCAGAGGAACAAGTGTGATCCACTATGGTGGAACAAGTGTGATTCCCTTTTGAGGAACAAGTGTGACTCCCATTAGTGGAACAAGGATGCCCCTTTTTGCGGAACAAGTGTGATTCCTTGCAGAGAAACAAGTGTGACTCCCTTTGAGGGAACAAGTGTGACTTCCTGTAGAGTGTAGCGGCAAGGGTCATTCAGGGAAGGTTCTGCCCTGAATCAGACTCTGTATCATTGACTCAACCTAACGGCTGACCTCTTGTCGACTCGCTTTCCCTGAAGAGTGACGGCGAGTTAGGCAGTAATACGAGTTTAATAGATGTCCGGTCATTTGTCATGGATCAATTATTGAAGTGTTGTAACCTCTACCAATACCAGTACCATTTTATATTCAATTGGGTCTGGAAGGATGTTTAAGAAGAGGATGTCTTGATATATTTATTATTATGTTCATGTCACGAACTACGAAGTACTTAGGGTAATTATTTTAATCCTATCTGGATCATGGAGTATGCTGGCTGATCCACCAATGGTATACATGCCCTTTCATTTAATTGTCTGATTTAATTCATTGTCAAACCATCCATCGTACCCCCCAGCCGTAGACAACTGTTAGTACACCATGGAAGTGTTCAGTACATATTCGGGGTTCTAAGGACTAGGCGAGTTAAGGTGTCTTCCTACTCTTCTAACCCTCCGCTAGAACATCTGGCACTTTTAGAAGCAAGTCCTTCAGCTTACTGGATAATACCATAATAAGTCCACAAGTATAATTTTATAACTACGTACTTGGGGTCGTTGATGATATCGGTGAGAGCGTCGACGATCAAGTCCACAGTGAGCTCCTCCCACACCAGCATGAGACCCAGACCAGCGTCCCTCATTAACTTGGCATTCCTGGGCTGGTCGGAGTAAATGGGTAGGGCGAGGAGGGGCGTGGCGTGGTAGATGGCCTCCTGCAGGCTGAGGAAGCCACAGTGCGAGATGAACACCTTCACGTTGTGGTGGGCTGCAGTCCACAGGGTGTTAGTCTTTATATTGGATTGTAATTATTAAAATACATATGACTATAAAAGACAAAATGTCTATTTAATAATTTTATGCATTTTCTAGTGGTTGATCAAATTCATAATAGTATTTCTTACAGATATCATTAAATTGAAGCTCACATCCTTAATGGGGGCAGGGGTACATATATGCCACATTGCCAACTGCATAGGGTTCTCGATTGGCTCCTGGCTGTTTTAAAGAGGAGGTCGCAATTTTTTTTATAGTATATGTTGATGTCTATGTTTTGGTTAAGGGTTGTGGTTTTGACTTCTTGATTTTTCTTTTATTATTCTTTCCTCTTCTCCAAAACATGGACATCAGGATTATTATGGGCAGAGGAGTGGCATGGTAGACGGCCCCCTGAAGGCTGAGGAGGCCTCAGCGCGTGATGAACACCTTCATGTTGTGGTGGGCAGCAGATGATAGGGTTTTAATCATTAAAGTGAATTAGTGGTATTAAAATGCAGATGATGATAAAAAAACTAATTTGTCAAACTAATAATCTCTTGTATTTCTCTATTAGTGGATCAGTTTGTAACTATGTTGCCTGAAGGCAGTATGTGTGCTAACAGTGATACTTTTATTTTTGTATTTCTTATTCTGACTTTTTGATAGAGCATAGGCATATGTTACACAGACATTTTGGTCTAACGTCCACCGTTCACTTATAAATAACCTCACCAAGAATATCCTGCTGGGGAAGCCACTTGTTGATCATCACGTTGTCAGGGAGGTTCTCCAGCTCCTCCTCATGTTTCCAGAGGACACGCTGGGGCAGCCTGCGGAAAGCCTCGATTAAGAAGTCGCGATACTTGACTGGCACGGAGGTTCCACGCGCAACCGAGCCCAAGCTAAAGTAGACAACGCCAGCAGACCCCGCTCCTATGATCCACGATTCCAGATCCTGTAAAGTGGGTATGTACACATCTTACTCACTAACGTATTGTTAGGTTAGAATGTTTTAGCTTCGGTTAGACTGTGATAGGCTCAGTTGATTGGTTTGAGCTAGGCTAAGATTAGTTGGGCATGGCTAGCAAGATTGATAAATCATCCTGTGTGCAGATTTGTATCCTTGTAAAGAGCTGCGTGACTAACTAACAACGTGAACAACTATCTGGTGGTTATTTAACGGAATTAAATTTGTGAATATACACATATATCTATATGTGAATATTCACAAAACCCTAGATACACACCAGGTCCACACCAATAGCTTGTCGTCCTGTACTTGTAACAGTTTTCCTCCACACTACATCTTGACAACCTATTTTCTTAGCATGGGATACTGAGTGATATCAAGTCCTCCCCATGGGTTAGTTTTCATCCTCTATCTTCTCATGAGAGTTCCCGAGTCACGAGTGTTGACTTGCGGGTCGACAGTGAATTCCACCCACCTCCACCAGTGAAGGCAGGACAACTCACCTGGGACAGAGGGCTGGTGGGTCGACAGTGAATTCCGACCATCCCCACCAGTGAGGGCAGGACAGCTCACCTGGGGCAGAGGGCTGGCGGGTCGACAGTGAATTCCGACCATCCCCACCAGTGAGGGCAGGACAACTCACCTGGAGCAGAGGGCTGGCGGGTCGACAGTGAATTCCGACCACCTCCACCAGTGAGGGCAGGACAACTCACCTGGGGCAGAGGGCTGGCGGGTCGACAGTGAATTCCGACCACCTCCACCAGTGAGGGCAGGACAACTCACCTGAGGCAGAGGGCTGGCGGGTCGACAGTGCATGCCACCCACCTCCACCTGTGAGGGCAGGAGGGGCAGTGGTATACCAGTACTAAAGTGGCCGTTGATCAACGTCAGACTCATGTTCCTCTCCAGGTCCAACAGCGGTGGCAACTCCGGGAACTGCGCAGAGATCTGAGGAATGGTTCCGACACTCACCAAAGAGTCATGAAATTCCTTTTATGTAGGCTATCTGGCAACTCTGCAGTGCACTAAGTTATAAACCTGCTATGTGTTAATAAATTTGATTGCACAATTAAAAAATCAACGGAAAATAGTTTTTTGACAGTAAGTATGCATTATCCTTCAAGTATATCTCTGATTATTTTCAACTTTGCTCCATCACTAATATTTGTTGAGATACCATTTGCCACTGAAACTGACTCACTTCTTTCTGCACTGTCGGCACTATGGACCAGATCCGCCAAAAAAAAGGATATGATATGTGATGAACTGTGTTGAGGAGCCGCTGCCAGACCGATGCAGGGAAGTGAAAGTTATCCATGAAGGGGACGTAGGCTGGGTTGAGGACGTTGCCCAGGACGGCGCTGACGCGATGGTTTGTCGCCGATGTGAAGAGAGTGATGAATGGGACGTTGTGCACAAATGGGTAGGCCACCTGTAGGAAGACAAAAAGCAGAGAATCATAAGAAAGCGCTAAGTCATTACGATTATAGAGAGCTTAGAAGAATATGACGACAAGGATCTGAGATAGGACTGAGGGAAGGAATGATGCCCAACCATTCAGTTCGTCAGAGATTGAGCGCCGATGTACAAGAATGTCGCTGTATCAACTAGTTAAAGTGGTTGAACAACTGCAGGGAGAGTAAACCAATAGTCATTTATGATTTCAGTATTCACTGATTAATATACATCGATAAACGGTACACACCGAAGGTGTATACCGTTTCTCGGTGTATGTACAATAATAATTTACTTTAGTCCTGTACTGTTTTCAAGAATGAAGTCTACGGTAACTGTTGGTCATTCAATAAGCTGATTGTTGGTCTTAATAACCTTCATGGTCGATAGAGCTTAAGCAAAACAGCAAGCTAAAACAAGAGTTTTCTATATATTTTAATTAACCTATGCTTCATTAAATTGTACTATTATGTGTATTATCCTGGAGCCTCAGGAAATACTATTATGCATACCATTTTTATAAGTCAATATTAAATATGACAAATGTCATGGAACATCAAGTTCCAGGAACGAGCTCTCACCTCGTTGAACATAGCATCTACGACCATGAGATCGAATTCCTTCCTTCTCTGGTAGAGCTCCTTCACAGCCGGCACGTGATACATTTCCCTGGCCACGAACGACAACTTTGTAAATATATTCATAACGTTACTTGCAGCTCCGAACATGTTAATGTTCTCAAACTTGAAGTATGGAAGGTCGTGGGTTATCTCGGTTATGTTGGGGTGTTTGGATGATTTGGGAAAGTTGGTCAGCATCACTATCTGGAGGAAGAGGATTTGCTACTCATAAATTTGCCGTGCTTGATAATTGTTAAAATCATAATGGGTTGTTTGACTTATCATAAACATATTCCAAAAAACACAGAACAATAAGACCCAAAAATATTATATGTATATATCTATATAAATAAAAATGTAAATATTCGTTTGTTCAAAATCACTAATCTCCCAAAGTTCTTCACTGATTGCATTGAAATTTTCACACAACGTTCCATTCGCATACGAGCAGGTTTTTACATACATACTATATAGATACAACCTGTTCTCGCACTTGCGTACAGTCAATATTGGCTTATTTAATAAGAGCATATGTGACATACTAATTGATTGTAAATATTTTAGTTTATCTTGAAAAGCTTCATAGAAAACCCCGACCTCACCTAACCTTCTTAGTATGTTAAGATAAGCATCTAATTGCTTCTTATTTACAATTATTACTTAATCAACGGTATAGGTTAAGTGATAATTGTAATTAAGAAGCAATAAGATGCTTACCTTAACATACTAAGAAGGTTAGGTGAGGTCAGAGTTTTCTATGAAGCATTTCAAGGAAAACTAAAATATTTACAATCAATTAGTATGTCACATATGCACTTATTAAATAAGCCAATATTGACTAAACGCAAGTGCGAGAACGGGTTGATAGATGTCATGTCTGTGACATGACAACTCACATGACATGATTTTTTAATAGTTTTTCATGTGAGGGGAAATCTTTGAAACCTCTTTACAGATTGCTTTGGAATTTTGACACAATGTTGCATTCGAATTGGTGCGTGTTTTTATATACCTACTATATACATGCCTCACCTCTGACATTGTATATATACACATATATATATAATTAATTCATGAAAACTTGGCTTATTAGGCAAATTGGGCCTTGCATAGTAGGCCGAGAAGTGCGTTCTGGCTACTAGGTACGGCATATATATATATATATATATATATATATATATATATATATATATATATATATATATATATATATATATATATATATATATATTAAATATGACCGAAAAAGTAAGATTAATAATTCTAACACGAATTTTCTCAATCTTTCGTACATTTCTTTTCACTGTTGGAGGTAAATCAAAAATCAATTCTCCAAAATTCATTTTTATTTCTAGTCTGACGCGACACGAGCACGTTTCGTAAAACTTATTACATTTTCAAAGACTTTAGTTTACAAATACACAACTGAATAGAACTTACGCATCTCCGATTTTATATCTATATCTACATTTTAGTGAGGTGGATGGGGTGAGGTGGCATTAATAGGGTATTAATTTCATCAACACAAGACAGATGCTAGATGTAACAGTCATGGAAAAGAGCGGAGGTTTCCACACTGCAGTCTACACTAAGGAAACGAACGTAGGAATGTGCCTAAATGCCAACAGCGACTGCCCAGACAGGTACAAGAGGAGTGTTGTTAACGCATATGTCGACCGTGCTCTCAGCCACAGCTCAGAATGGAAGCAAGTCGACGAAGAACTCTGTAGGGTAAGGCAGGTCCTAGTCAACAACGGCTTCTCCAATGGTTTCGTCGAAGACATCATAAGAAGGAAAGTGAAATGCCATGCAACCTCTGAAGAGACAACTAACACAACACCTATACCCCCTATTAGACTATTTTACAGGAACTTCTTTTCCACAGCTCATAAAACGGAGGAAGGGTCCTGAAAGATATTGTTAATAGAAACGTTATCCCTACAGACAAAAATCAGAGGATACAACTGACGATTTACTATAAAACCAGAAAACGGCCAGCCTACTCATGAGAAACTCTCCAGACACAAAACAGAACGCTTTAAAAGAGAGTAACGTCGTCTATGCCTTCAAATGCCCACTTGGGGACTGTAAGCTCCAAAAAAAACAGTATATATGCAAGACAACAACATCTCTTTCTAGGCGTTTAACGATGCATAAGCAACAGGGCTCCATTAAGGAACATAAAATCTCTTCCCACAACCAAACCATCGCCAGAGAAATCCTAGTAAACAACACAGAAATCATCGATATTTACAGCGATAGCAGGCGGCTTGACATTTGCGAGGCACTACACATAAAGAAGTCAACACCAGCAATCAACAGCCAATTAATGCACAACTATATTCTACCCACCTCAAGACTCCGCTCCAATATAGAAGCATCAAGAAATATGGACCAATAGGCTTTCTACAAACACTTCTATTCAATACCCATTGTTTCGTGTTCTGTCTTGTGTTGATGAAATTAATACCCTATTAATGCCACCTCTTGTTCTGTCTTGTCTTGATGAAATTAGTACCCTATTAATGCCACCTCAATCCATCCACCTCACTCAAATGTAGATATAAAATTGGAGATGCGTAAGTTCTATTCAGTTGTGTATTTGTAAACTAAAGTCTTTGAAAATGTAATAAGTTTTACGAAAGGCGCTCGTGTCGCGTCAGACTAGAAATAAAAATGAATTTGGAGAATTGATTTTTGATTTACCTCCAACAGTGAAAAGAAATGTAAGAAAGATTGAGAAAATTCGTGTTAGAATTATTAATCTTACTTTTTCGGTCATATTTAATAATATATGTCTACAGGAAAGACTGCTACCAAATATATATATATATATATATATATATATATATATATATATATATATATATATATATATATATGTCGTACCTAGTAGCCAGAACGCACTTCTATGCCTACTATGCAAGGCCCAATTTGCCTAATAAGCCAAGTTTTCATGAATTAATTGTTTTTCGACTACCTAACCTAACTTTTTCGGCTACCTAACCTAACCTAACCTATAAAGATAGGTTAGGTTAGGTTAGGTAGGGTTGGTTAGGTTCGGTCATATATCTACGTTAATTTTAACTCCAATAAAAAAAAATTCACCTCATACGTAATGAAATGGGTAGCTTTATCATTTCATAAGAAATAAATTAGAGAAAATATATTAATTCAGGAAAACTTGGCTTATTAGGCAAATCGAGCCATGCATAGTAGGCCGAGATGTGCGTTCTGGCTACTAGGTACGACATATATATATATATATATATATATATATATATATATATATATATATATATATATATATATATATATATGTCGTACCTAGTAGCCAGAATGCACTTCTCAGCCTATTATGCAAGGCCCAATTTGCCTAATAAGCAAAGTTTTCATGAATTAACTGTTTTTCGCTAACCTAACCTACCTAACCAAACCTAACCTAACCTTTTCGGCTACCTAACCTAGCCTAACCTATAGAGATAGGTTAGGTTAGGTTATTTAGGGTTGGTTAGGTTCGGTCATATATCTACGTTAATTTTAACTCCAATAAAAAAAAAAAAAAAATTGACCTAATACATAATGAAATGGGTAGCTGTATCATTTCATAAGAAAAAAATTTGAGAAAATATATTAATTCATGAAATCTTGACTTATTAGGCAAATCGGGCCTTGCATAGTAGGCTGAAAAGTGCATTCTGGCTATTAGGTACGACATATATATATATATATATATATATATATATATATATATATATATATATATATATATATATATATATATATATATATATATATATATATATATGTCGTACCTAGTAGCCTGAACGCAATTCTCAGCCTACTATGCAAGGCCCGATTTGCCTAATAAGCCAAGTTTTCCTGAATTAATATATTTTCTCTAATTTTTTTCTTATGAAATGATAAAGCTACCCATTTCATTATGTATGAGGTCAATTTTTTTTTATTGGAGTTAAAATTAACGTAGATATATGACCGAACCTAACCAACCCTACCTAACCTAACCTAACCTATCTTTATAGGTTAGGTTAAGTAGCCGAAAAAAGTTAGGTTAGGTTAGGTTAGGTAGGTTAGGTTGTCGAAAGAACATTAATTCATGAAAACTTGGCTTATTAGGCAAATTGGGCCTTGCATAGTAGGCTGAGAAGTGCGTTCTGGCTACTAGGTACGACATATATATATATATATATGTCGTACCTAATAGCCAGAACGCACTTCTCAGCCTACTATTCAAGGCCCGATTTGCCTAATAATCCAAGTTTTCATGAATTAATGTTTTTTCGTCTACCTAACCTACCTAACCTAACCTAACCTAGCTTTTTTTGGCTACCTAACCTAACCTTACCTATAAATATAGGTTAGGTTATGTTAGGTAGGGTTGGTTAGGTTCGGTCATATATCTACGTTAATTTTAACTCCAATAAAAAAAATTGACCTCATACATAGAGAAAAGGGTTGCTTTATCATTTCATAAGAAAAAAATTATAGTAAATATATTAATTCAGGAAAACTTGGCTTATTAGGCAAATCGGGCCCTGAATAGTAGGCTGAGAAATGAGTTCTGGCTACTAGGTACGACATTATATATATATATATATATATATATATATATATATATATATATATATATATATATATATATATATATATATGTCGTACCTAGTAGCCAGAACTCACTTTTTGGCCTACTATTCAAGGCCCGATTTGCCTAATAAGCCAAGTTTTCCTGAATTAATATATTTTTCTAATTTTTTTCTTATGAAATGATAAAGCTACCCATTTCATTATGTATGAGGTCAATTTTTTTTATTGTAGTTAAAATTAACGTAGATATATGACCGAACCTAACCAACCCTACCTAACCTAACCTAACCTATCTTCATAGGTTAGGTTGGGTTAGGTTGCCAAAAAGGTAGGTTAGGTTAGTTAGGTAGGTTAGGTAGTCTAAAAAACATTAATTCATGAAAACTTGGCTTATTAGGCAAATCGGGCCTTGCATAGTAGGCTGAGAAGTGCGTTCTGGCTATTAGGTACGACATATATATATATAAACTGAAAACTCACACCCCAGAAGTGACTCGAAACCATACTGCCAGGAGCAACGCAACTGGTATGTACAGGGACGCCTTAATCCGCTTGACCATCACGACCAGACAAAAGGAAGTGATAGCCGAAGCTACCAC